GGATTGTTTTTCCAAGGCACTTTTCTTGTTGGCTTTGGCCTCTGGGGGTCGGGTAGGGGAGCTTTTTTTGCTGTACATAATTCAATAATTTCAAATCAGTCATGTTTTGAATGGTTGGGACTTCGTCAAAATCTATTCACCCATCGTATGTCATCTTCTATTGTTTTAGTCACAAGTTCTGCTCTCAGTTCTGGGGGACTTAATTTCCCTTGACATAGGCAAGGACTTCCTCTCTTAATTTTTTCCTCTCGCTAACTTTCTTCACCGCAAATCCTTCAAAATCTGCCTTGTCATCTTTCTCAGGAAACAGACTTGACGTGAGCCAAAGTTTTTTCCAACCATTTCTTATTGTTGTTTGCTTTACCTTGTCCCATGCACTAGCAGTAGTCCAGATAGCTGACCTTATTGTGAAGACTTTATAAAAGTCCTTAATTGTTCCTGGCTGATTATTAAGATGTCTGGTAGTGGTGTTTAAGGTTCTTAATTATCCCTTGATCCATGGGGTTGGATCAGTGAAGTTGTATTGGGTAGTAACAACGTTCCAATGATATTGCCATTTACTAGCTCATCACCTCGTGGATGCGTTGAACTATTATCTAGTATCAGCACAACTTTGCTGTTTTGTGGGAGGCCAACACTTTTCAGGTGCTCCTTCACCTCGCATACAAAAGTTCTTATTAACACTTTCGCTCACCCCGCACGCCACCCCTCAATAGTGCGATATGGAACCCAGGGTGTCACGGGAGCGCGCGTAAATTCTGAAAAGTGTATACTCTCTTCAACTTTGTCACCTTAATTCTCATCCTACGAGATTAAATTTGGTATCATTGTGTTCGCAATAGAATTTTCTACAGCACTAAATGCATATAAACTCCAAAAGCCTGGCTAATTACCCGCAGCAAACAGAGAAAGTGCGAACGAGTTACCCAGGAGCGCACAAACGCGATAAAATGTTTTCACTATTTTCACTCTGGTCACCTCAATTTTTGTCCTAGGTCTTTCATTTTGGTCTCAATGGGTTCGCAATAGAATTCTCTAGAGGAACATTAGCATATAAAATATAAAACCTGGTCACGCTCCAACCGCCGACGAGTTGAAGACGGGCCACGCGTTAGCCGCGAGTGAGCGCTCAGATGCCTTCCAGCTACACTCCCAATTCCCTCCCTTTTCAAGCCTTTCTTTCGCAATTTTCTTCCTGAAAGGGCCTTGTTCATGATCACTATCCATCGTGGAGTAAGGGTAGATAGTTTCTAAAGCCGCAGTAAGAAATATAGCCACGGAAAATAGTCGAAATGTTCACACGTTTGAGATGTGAGGGGAGGCGACATTGGTCACAACAGTGGAGCGAAAACAATGGGCCCACGGCGTGTGCCAAGCCGCCTGAGGGCCACGAGGCTCAACAAAGAAAATGGGAAGACATCGGCGCACATTTTAAAACCAGTCCCAAAAAAATCGGATAAAAACCTGATTTTTGGCGATTATTTAAAGTGGATGACGCAATGCTGCGTCATCCCCGGTATTACCGACAGTAAACGGATGACGCAATGCTGCGTCATGCCCGGGCGAAAGTGTTAAACCACTCGGCAAATATTACTCGAGACAGCCGTCTTGAGTTGATTTCGGGGCTTTAGTGTCCCCGCGGCCCGGTCCACGACCAGGCCTCCACCCCCAGGAAGCAGCCCGTGACAACTGACTAACTCCCAGGTACCTATTTACTGCTAGGTAACAGGGGCATAGGGTGAAAGAAACTCTGCCCACTAAGTGGGTCCCAGAACTAAAGGACAAGAGCTACGAGGAGAGGTTAGAGGCATTAAATATGCAAAAACTAGAAGATAGAAGAAAAAGAGGCAATGTGATCACTACTTTCAAAATAGTAACAGGAATCGATAAAATTGATAGGGAAGAATTCCTGAGACCCGGAACTTCAAGAACAAGAGGTCATAGATTTAAACTAATGAAACAAAGCTACTGGAGAAATATACGAAAATTCACTTTTGTAAACAGAGTGGTAGACGGTTGGAACAAGTTAAGTGAGAAGGTGGTGGAGGCCAAAACCGTCAGTAATTTCAAAGCATAATATGACAAAGAGTGCTGGGAAGACGGGACACCAAGAGCGTAGCTCTCATCCTGTAACTACACTTAGGTAATTACACTCGGTAATTACACTTAAGTAATTACCATCCAACTCCAAGTCCAATTGCCGGCCTATCTTGAGGTTATCTTGAGATGATTTCGGGGCTTAGCGTCCCCGCGGCTTGGTCCTTGACCAGGCCTCCTTTTTGTTACATATCCCCCAGGAAGCAGCCAGTAGCAGCTGTCTAACTTCCAGATACCTATTTACTGCTAGGTAACAGGGGCATCAGGGTGAAAGAAACATTTTGCCTATTTGTCTCCGCCTCCACCGGTGATCAAACCCGGAACCTCAGGACTACGAATCCGAAGCGCTGTCCACCCAGCTGTCAGGCAGGGCGCCCTCTCAGGCCTAGAGAAACAATTTCCTCAACAAGAGGCACTTCAGGTTCAGGCTCAAATCCCTCAAAGTCTCGTTCTGCAACACATTCAGGCCACAAATTTTTCCAGCCAGAGATCATGGTTCTTAGTCACTTCTTGCCAAGCTTTGTCTACGAGTTTTAAAGCACTACAAATGTTAAAATGTTTTTTCCAGAACTCTTTGAGGGTGAGGTTTGTGGCATCCGTCGCTTCGACACATCTCCGAAAAAGTGCCCTTTCAAAGAGTTTCTTAAAATTGGCAATGATTTTCTGGTCCATAGACTGAAGTAGAGGAGTGGTGTTGGGAGGAAGGAACTTTACTGTAACAAAACTAAATTACTCCATCAATGAATCCTCCAAGCCTGGAGGATGGGCATGAGCATTGTCGAGAAGCAAGGCCTTAAGTGGCAAACTTTTCTCCTGCAGATATTTTTGTATGGCAGGGCACACCACATCATTCACCCACTCCGTAAAAAAATTGCCTAGTCACCCATGCCTTACTATTAGTCCTCCACATCACACACACTTGGCTTTTCTACACGTTATATTTTTTAAAACCCTTGGATTTTCAGAATGATTCACAAGCAAGGGTTTAATTTTCAAATTGCCACTCGCATTTCCACACAGCACAAGAGTAAACCTATCTTTCATAGGCTTGTGTCCGGGCAATGACTTCTCCTCCTTGGTAATGTATGTTTTCTTCGGCAATCTTTTTCAGAATAGTCCTGTCTCGTCACAATTAAACACTTGTTGTGGTAGGTATGCCTCACTCTGCACAAAATCTTTAAATTCACCATTAAATCTTTTCAGCCGCTGGTTTTTCTGAGCTGGCATCCTCCCCATGCCTCACAACACTATGAATGCCACTTCTTTTTCTAAATTTCTCAAACCATCCTCTGCTCGCCTTAAACTCTTTTGCTTCTGCATCGCTCGTTCCAGGGGTTTTCTTTATAAGATCTTCATGCAACTTTCTTGCCTTTTCACAAATGATGGCCTCTGAAACGCTATCACCTGCTAACTCCTTGCTGTGTATCCAAATTAATAACAACTGTTTGACATCCTCAAGTGTTTGTGTTCTACGTTTCGTGATTATTGATACGCCTTTTGCCACTTTAGCACTCATAATGTCCTTTTTCTTAGCATGTATGGTGGATATCATTGACCGAGATTTGTTGTACTACCGAACTAGTTTAGCAACCCGCACACCATCTTCATATTTACGAATGATCTCTCGTTTTTGCTCTGTGGTCATCCTTACATGGGTTTTCATATGTTGAACCTTACCACTGACTTTCTTGGGACCCATGGCGTGATATATAATAATCAGATTTATGTTCAAAGAGCAAAAAATCACCAAAAAAATTTAATTTCTTATAAGTGTGATCGTCACTAAGTGGGCAGCTCTAGTAAACTGAGGCAGGTCGGCCCTCGCGATAGGGAACCATGCACTCGGGCGACCCGAACATGTATCAATGAATATCGTTAGTCGAAGAACACTATCGTAAGTCGAGTCGCATTTTTTTATCAAATTTATGATCACGTGATCATAAATTTCGATCAAGTGGTACTCCACCTGTGACATTTTTCCAGTCCGATATATTGCCTCTGATTATGGCCCTCATTTTTCTATCAGAAAATTTTTCATCCATGTTAGAAGCTTACCTGTCACCCCTCCAATATGTTCCAGTTTCCAGAACAAAATAATAAAATATATGATGTATTGTATTATTATACAATAGATAGAAGACATATGTGTTTTACATTACATATTAATAATATCTATCTATTATTATACATGTACAGTATTATATTTATGCACGTATTATATTATACGTGTAATACATGATGGGTGTGGAGTGGTGTGTAATACATGATGGGTGTGGAGTGGTGTGTAATACATGATGGGTGTGGAGTGGTGTGTAATACATGATGGGTGTGGAGTGGTGTGTAATACATGATGGGTGTGGATTTGTGTGTAATACATGATGGGTGTGGAGTGGTGTGTAATACATGATGGGTGTGGAGTGGTGTGTAATACATGATGGGTGTGGAGTGGTGTGTAATACATGATGGGTGTGGAGTGGTTTGAGAACAGGTTTATAGAATATGTTACCAGATAATATAATACATTTGAGATTGGTGAATAGTTTCAAGCCTAGGTTAGATATACTGTGTATGCAGAATAGTTTGTGAGGGTATTAATAAGAATGGCCTCACATGGTCCAATAGGCCTTATACATACAGTGTACTGTACCTTTATTCTAATACTTTTATGGTTTTAGGGGTTATAAATAAGGAGCCTACTAATATTTTTACAGTATTATTTGACAGACAAATACAGCACTGTAATTCATTTGTAATAATATAATTATTATTAAGGGCAGCTTCTTCCCTTCGAGATATTATTTGTACAAATTCACTTTCTGCATTGATATAAATTAAAAAATACTGATTGAATTACTGTTCAAATTTCACATAAATAGAATGTGTCACTTATTGAATCATTGCAGGCATCATCAAAATGCCTAGTGCTCACCTCAGCTTACGCGAGGAGGATGTAGTGCGGCTTACGCTAGAGTTTCTTCACAACCGCTTCTTACATATCTCTCAGTTAAATGTAGAGAGAGAAACTGGTATCATCAATGGAAATCACTCGGATGATGCACTCTTTCTACGTCAGCTTATTCTTGATGGCCAGTGGGATGATGTTCTTGAATTTGTTCAGCCATTAGAGGTAAGTTGAAGACATTTTTCTGATAAATGATCATCATATGTAACAAGTTTATATTAGAGCAGCCTTCAAATAACATGGTGAGATGCATTTATAGGTATACTGGTATTATCGTAACAATGAAGCGTTCAGGGTATTTTTGTCTGTGTAACGATAAAAACAGGTTTAAAGAGGTTTGAGACAATGATTTTTAATAAAGCAGTTTGTCATTTTCTTGTAAGTAAAGAAAACACCAGTCTTGAATGTAATGAAATGCCTGGTGTTGAAATGAAATCACTTCTTTCTGGTGAGTGCTTGGTGGCTCCTTGATGCTTGCTCTCTGGTAAATACCACCTAGCTCAATTCATGTCAGGGCCAAAGCATGGAATTGTAGATCAACCTCACAGAAAAAAGAAAAGCAGAAATGTGGGTGAACCAAAACATAGAAACAGCGAGGTAAACAAAGCATAAAAAATGGGACAGCAATGCCCTGAGACTCAAACCATCCAGTCATGAAGCACTTCTCTCCTCAGTTCCCCCTCAATCCACTAGCCTAGACACCTAAGTCTTATATGTAGTTGAGGTAACAGCAAATGGCTGTAGCTGGTCATAATTAATGATACTCCCCTGACTTAACCAACCAAGCACCATTCACCAATGGACCCCTCCAAAAATTCTTATCCAGAAAGGAATGAGAGAGCTATAATAATAATAATAATAATAATAATAATAATAATAATAATAAAAAAAGAGCAAGAGCCTCCAGCATGTGGAGGAGAGCGTTGAAGATCTGCAACTTGATAACTGGAAACTGAGGACCAGCAAAACAAAGTTTTGAAGAAATAATCCCAGATTAAAGGGGGAGGTACAGAAAACCCTAGAAGAGGAGAGAAAAGCCAAGACGTCTCAGGAGGAGCATGAGTGAGCCGAAGATGAAAAAAATCCAGTAATGACTTGTAAAATGGGGCCGGCGATACATCGACACCAAACATCAACAGTAGTGGCTCTGCCAAGGTCAGACAGTACGAGACAACAGCATTTGGCAAGAGTAGTCTATCCATAAACAACTAAAAAAATAAATAGGACCACAGGCACATAAGGAGCATAACTGGCCGACCTCTCACAATGTTTAAGAAAGAACTTGACAAATATCTCCACAGAATACTTGATCAACCAGGCTCTGATTCTTAAGTCAGGCTGCGAGCAGCCGCGTCCAACAGTTTGGTTGGACGCGACCAACCGGGAGGCCCGGTTGACCAGACGACCAACCGGGAGGCCCGGTTGACCAGACGACCAACCGGGAGGCCCAGTTGACCAGACGACCAACCGGGAGGCCCAGTTGACCAGACGACCAACCGGGAGGCCCGGTTGACTAGACGACCAACCGGGAGGCCCGGTTGACCAGACGACCAACCGGGAGGCCCGGTTGACCAGACGACCAACCGGGAGGCCCGGTTGACCAGACGACCAACCGGGAGGCCCGGTTGACCAGACGACCAACCGGGAGGCCCGGTTGACCAGTCGACTAACCGGGAGGCCCGGTTGGAGATCGGACCGCGGGGCCATTGATCCCGGGCAGCTACACAAGGTTGACTACACAAGGTAGGCATGGAAACTGAGGACAAGCGATGTAAAGATTGAAAATCTAAAGTGCCAAGAAACAACATTCTGCTGCCATGATGAAAACTGCAGGTGAAACATCAACACATCGGCCACCTGTGAACTGTACATAGAGTAATATACCAAAGTGAAATGTTCCAAACGTGTAGAACAGCATAGAACGTTGAACGACTGAGAAACATCTCCGGACCTATCTGGGGAGATGGAACTAATAAATGAACTGCTTCACAATCAGGTGGTTCGTTTGGTTCAGTATCTTGTTTCACATTATCTATGTTCTGTTTACCTTGCTGGTGGCTTTTCTTTTTCCTTCTTGCACTTGTATAGAGTAGGAGGGGGGGGGGGCAGGTTTTGACCTTTGGTTCCCAGTAGGCTTACAATGACTCACAAGGGCCTTGCATGGATTTAATTTGGTGGAACTATCCAGCACCAAGGAGCGACTAAGGACCTGCCAGAAAATGCCATTGCATTACATTCAGTGCTGTTTTTCTTGTATAAATATATAAAGTACAACACTGTACATTACTTGAAATTTTGTAAACTGGGCGTACATTTGTACAAGTGTACAACCATTTATGAAAAATATTTTAAATTTAAATTGAATTACATTTCTCACTGTTCACTATTTGCAGACTCTTATATTCACAGGATGACAGAAATTAGAGGAATCCTGAAAAAAAAATTATGGTCTATATTTCATACCACTATAAACACCATGAAAGTTAAAGATCTGGAGCTTCTTCATAAATGATATCACAACTTGAACAATATAACTAATATTAACACTAACACAGCATACTTTGACAAATAAATTGACAACATGCCCATTCACTCATCGCCTGGCCCTGACTCCTGGAACTCCACATTTATAAAGAAATGTCAAGTATCAGTATCACGACACTCGTAGTATGGATACCTGGCGACACACCAAAAGCACTTAAATTGGCAAATGTAGCTTGGCTACATTAGGTACATCTGTAGCAAATTGTTTGAAAAACGATTAGACTGGTCACACTTACATAACACATTAAAGTCTTTGAGTGATTAGGAGTTGGGGCCTACTGTTTTTATAGCAACAATTACGTACACAATCCAGGTCAAGGTGGATTTAGTGTTGGAAGATCTATTTCTATTTCTGAACCATTATGATGAAATCACAGAAGCATTAGAACAAAACCAAAATGCAGATGTTGTATACATGGATTTTGTAAAAGCATTTGACAAATGTGATCGTTGAGTAATAGCCAATAATGTGAGGTCCAAAAGAATAACAGGTAAATGGGGAAAATGAATATTTAATTTCCTGTCAAACAGAATGCAAAGAGCAACAGTCATTCAAACAAATTCAAGTACCAGCACAGTGATAATCTCCATGCCCCAGGGAACAGTCATAGCACTACAACTCTTTGTCATTATATCAGACAACAAAAATTTGTTTGTCGTCCTTTGCTCAAAATCTTCACAGATATCAAGAAAGTCTTCCACTGGGCACTATTAAATACTGGAATGTGGTTATTAACAATGATAAAGTTCAAATGTGGTACAGTATTTAGTAATGGTAAAAATTGCGAACTTAAATGGAATACAGATTACAAGATGCAATCAGATTTCCTCACAGAGGGCACGTAAAAGACTCGGGCGATATGATGTTAGATGATTTAATGTTTAGTGAGCATAACCAAGAAAATGTAACATCAGTCAAGAATAAGATAGTGAATTATGAGAGCTTCAACTCCAGTGATTCCATCACAGTCCACACTTCTCTCACCTTTCACATAAAATGTGCTTTCCTGACATGAGTTTTGTTTGATACTAAGTTCCTCAGTCTAAGCAGGAGAAATTTCTGAAATAGATTTTCAGTGAACATATACATCATATATAGACAAAGTAGTGCACCTAAATTTCTGATATTGTCTCAAAGCAATCAAAATACAATCTCATGAAAATATACAAGAGAGATATCACATTATATATACAAGGAAGATACTGGAAGACCAGGAATACGCACAACACAGTAATAACCTGCTGAAATTAAATATATGGTAGAAAATGCAAAATAGGCCCAGTGAGGAGTAGAAGTGTCATAGGCAGAAAGAACATTGAACATCAGAGGTCTGCTGCTCTTCAACTTCCTTCCACCATATATAACAAAAGTTCCTTGATACAGTTGTAAGTTTTCAAGAGACAATAGGAGAAGTTCCTGCAAGAAGTGCTGGGGCAGCTGTGCCATAATGATCTGAATGCGGGTCTGTAGACTACTGCAAGCAACAGTCTTTCAGATCAAGTTATCCATGACAAGCCTGACTCCAGGCAGGCCTAGGGGGAATAAAACTTGCGGAACTGATTACAAGTAGTATGTCATCAAAACTGTCAGCTAATTTATTTACAGTATCATTCTAATTCTATGTTAGAACTGTATTATCTGCATATCTTATCTACAAGTTTATTATATATGATATTCTTTACAATATTTATTCCAGTCATACATCGTTAGGTTTACACCCTTGCCTAATGTTATTAATGTGACACCTTTTATGACCCTCCCCCTCTATGTATATGTATAGTGTACACCACATAACTCTCAGGGAAATGCACAACCCTCCATTGTAGGCTCAGTTACTCATTGCTCTATAAACTCGTAAACAAGCCTTGTTTCTTCACTAAAAACTTTATACAACGTTTAATATTCCACCGACTCCAAACCTGCTCATCGTTCTCCAGTCACGATGTATTTAACTTTGTTATGCTTTCTCCAAGTACATGTACACGTTATCTTTGATGTGGTGGCTCCACTAAGTGTATCTGTGCGTGTGTCTGATCCTCTCAACCTCTTCCACTGTGGACCTCACTTTATTCATCATATACTTGTTTATTTGTTATAGTCCATATTAAGTAAAGTGCATGTACTTATGTTTATTTTCAGGCTATTGATGCATTTGATACCAAGAAGTTCCACTTTATTGTGCTGAAATACAAGTACTATGAACTGTTGTGTATCAAAGCTGAAGCTCCTGCTAATCCCAGTAAAGAAGGTGCTGTTGATGAACTAGTCAAGGTAAGTGTGTATACTGTGTCTTCTACTGGAACATATCTTGGGAAACCAACAAACTTGTATATTTCAGTGTCTATTTTATTCACAGTAAGTTATCCATTATACATGTGTGAACTAACAATTAAGCCAAATGGTCACAATGGTCATGACAAGGGACACTGTGTTAACCATTATATTTGGGACTTGGCCTTCCAATGTCTTCTATGTATGTAATGTATTCACCTAGTTATGCTTCCGGGGGGTTGAGCTCTGGCTCTTTTGACCCGTCTCTCGACTGTTAATCACTCGACTTATTTTTTTTTCCTGGGGGGAGCCCCTTTGGCTCCCTGGAGCTATCTAGGCTGATATGGATATATTAGACTTTGGCATCAGTCAGTGTGAATGGAGTTCTTAGGCCTACCGGGGACCACGAGCCAGAACCTGGCCCTCTCAGAGAGGCACGAAAGCAATGACCTATAGAATTGCACATGTGATTTGGAGCATTCTGTATCTGCCATCGACCAGGGTCAGGCACCCAGAAAGATAAGCATCTCAAAACAAACCCCTGTGCTAGTGGAAACTACTACTGAAAGTCAAATGAGTGGATAAAACTCCCCAAAGAAAATCAAGCAAATGAGCAAGATGTCATCATGTGCCGCACTGCCGTCTGCACAGTCCCCCCCCCTACCAAGGAGGGGGGAAGGCGGAGTCCCAGATCCCTCTCGCCGGCTACCTACAGCTTCAGGTCTTGGCTGATGTGTTTGAGGATTGGTTGTGTGACTCCAGCTCCTGATTCTTATGTTCAGTGCTGTCTTTAGCGTGGTGCCTGGGCTGTGAGTAATATTCACAGGTACTCAGGCTACATGCGCTTAACCACCGTGCTGCGTGGAGTTTATTGAGAAATTCTCCCAGTGCGCATGAAATGAAGTGTTCCCAAAAATTCTTTTTTCTTCGTAAAATGATAAATTCCCTTCCCTGAATGTAAACGTTCCTATGTAAAAATAAGTACCAAATTCCACTTACTTTGGCTGTGGGGACGTGGACAAGATGCGCTGTGACATCATCAGGGCCTGGTCGCCCGTGCGTGACTCGCCCAGACACGGTCACGCGGGCCATTCAAGCACCGGGTGTTGCCACAAATATATTTTCAATTATTTGTTTTATGTATTTCCAATGCGGTTTTATTATTTTTTTATCGTATATGATGCATATTTGTGTCCTTTACAATATGTATACAGTAGAACGTTCATAATGTTCCATGGAACTGTGATACATGTGTCAGTAATGTGTCCACAATAAATGTTTATTGTCGCAATATTACCTGTTAACAATTCACTAAAATTTCAATATGTACAGTTTCACACACTATTTACAGAGTAACACACTGTATTACACACTCAGTACTTCGAAGTGTGTAATAATCAACGAAGTAGTCCATGGTACACAGCGCGACTTCGCTCTCAGTGCACCAGGTACAGATAAATTTTCGCTTCCTGTTTCTTCATTCTGTGTGCTTGCAAATAACGCACTCACGTACACCCTTGGCTTTAGAACTTGTAGGTTGTATGTAACCAAGCTTGTAAAGCATAAGATAGTATTGAAAAGATTGTAGGAAAAGATCAATTTGTAAGGTAGTCTTGAAAAGATTGCTTTGTATGGTCCCACACAGGAAGAGATTCAGCTAACCTCAAGAGTGTCCGTCAGTCAGGAAGAGATTCAGTTAGCCTCAAGAGTGTCCGTCAGTTGGAAAGAGATTCAGGTATTCTTGAAAATATCTATGGAAAACACCACCATGGAAGCCGCTAACACTGTTCATCTATGCTATTTGTATCAGATGCATCATCACTGAACGCAGAAAACGATTCATCTAAGTATCATCTAAATAAATAGCATAGGATTGCAAGGGTGATGCTCAGAGCTACAACTGGATACGCTCGCTATATCGTCCTTATAGGTGCTGTATCACTTGCATCCGACCTTTGTGTTAGGTCCTTATTGCGCCTGGCTTCCCCAATATTATGACCCTTATGTTCTTCAAACAATAAGGTTTGAATTTCACCGACAGAGCATTATCTTTCAACACTGCGTCGGACAGGTGTTTGGGAGCCAGAGGCGCGTGCGCCACCCACGGTTGCTCATTCAGTACTAACCCAGTTAGCAGGGCATTCTGGGATTTTTTTCCAAGATGGCTGCCTCTCACTGGAGGTCTTAAGAGTCCATTTCGTACACAACCAACCTCGTACACATTTAGAATTGGTTACGAAAAATCAAAACGAGTTTTCTCGGTTGGCGCAGTTTCCCGCCAACCGAGAAAACTTGGTTGGCGCAGTTAAGTGGTTAAGGTTGCCTTGCCTAAGTGCCCTGTAAGTACCGCCCTTGGGGCTTGGGGCCATCTTCCACAAGTCTCCTTGGGGTCTGCCTCTGGCTTTTGCTGCTCGGTAATTGACTGCCCTGAGTGTGCTGGGGGGTTTCCTCCTCTCTTGTTTACCTTAGGGTAAAGGGTAGTTTGCACTGGTAGGGGTGCAGGGTTCTGCACAGCTAGTTATCACCTGTTATAGCGGATGGCTCTGTTCCGCCTGGGTACGTTGTCCTCTTTTGGGGTTTTTCTTTTGTTTTTGTTTTCTGCCTGGAGGGGGGGGGTCTGTTTTCTGTTGGATGCCCCTGTATTTCATAATATATATCTCTCTGGGGTCTTGGTGGTATCTTCTGCTAGGCCCCAGTGAGTGGACACGTCCCAAAGGTTCAGCTTTTAGAAGTTTGATTGGTAGACTTGGGCACTAGTTTGCAGTACCCTGCCTGGGCTTTCCCCTATCGACACCAGTCTTAGGGCCCTGGCAAATCCCTCGGGAACGCAAGGGGTCCGATAGATGCGACCCCCCTAGGTCCCCTCTCACCATGGGCAAGTTTGAGGGTTGCTCTGTCCCCCTTGTCTCAGGGTGACTCACTGTTTTTGTCTCTTTGTCATGCTGCCTGTTGGGTTGGTGACACGTTCGACCCATAGTTCTGCGAGTTTTGTTGCCTATTAGTGACTCAGTACACCCAGTCCAGTGCCCAGTCCACTGATTACTCTATCCGATTGCAGGCAGCTCAGGCATGGCATGCTAGATATAGGTTGCTATAACACACTAGGTTGATTGCTAACCTGGAAGCCCCGAGGCTGCCCCGTTTTGTTGATAGGGACCCGGACTTGGGGGTGTTGCTCGCTTTGACCTTGGTTCAGTCAACACCACCTCGTTCTTTCCCTGCTGTGGTGCATTCTGGTCTTTCCCCCCTGGCTTCCAGCTCCGAAGCATCTAAGGGCTTCGAAGTCGGGGCAGGGTTTAGAAGCTTCTGAGAATCGGGCAGTCTCGTGGGTTGTCTCGTCCGGGGTGCCAACGGAGGCATTCGAGTTGGTTCCTTCAACCGTGGCGTCAGGGTCTGACCATTGGGCCCCCCATTTCTGCCTGCCTCGGCTTATTCTTTTGAGGCCACAGCTTTGGAGGACAACTCGGCCCAGGGTCCTGGTGTGGAGGTTCCTGGGGTTGGGGAGGAGCTGACTTGGGGGTCTTGGGCCCCGTTGGAACCCGTCTGGGTTTTTCTACCCCTCTGAGTGGGACTTACTGTTGCAAGGAGTAGGGTTTTCTTTTCCCCCCTCTGCGTACGAGTTGGATTTAGTGTTGGCCCCTCCCCGGGTTTGGTTCCATATCCCTTCCTTGAGGTTACCTTTAGGTGACTTCGGGGCTCAGCGACCTCGCGGCCCGGTCGTCGACCAGAGCTCCTTGTTGCTGGACTGGTCAACCAGGTTGTTGGACGCGGCTGCTCGCAGCCTGATGTATGAGTCACAGCCTGGTTGATCATGTATCCTTTGGAGGTGTTTGTCAAGTTCTCTCTTGAACACTGTGAGGGGTCGGCCAGTTATGTCCCTTATGTGTAGTGGAAGCGTGTTGAACAGTCTCGGGCCTCTGATGTTGATAGAGTTCTCTCTCAGAGTACCTGTTACACCTCTGCTCTTCAACTGAGGTATTCTGCACATCCTGCCATGCCTTCTGGTTTCATGTGCTGTTATTTTTGTGTGCAGGTTTGGGACAAGCCCCTCTACTATTTTCCATGTGTAAATTATTATGTATCTCTCCCGCCTGCGCTCTAGAGAATACAGATTTAGGCTCTTTAGTCGGTCCCAGTAGTTTAGATGTTTTACTGAGTTGATTCTAGCAGTAAAGGATTTCTGCACGCTCTCCAGGTCAGCAATTTCTCCAGTTTTGAAAGGGGCTGTCATTGTGCAGCAGTATTCCACTCTAGAGAGCACTAGCTTCTTGAAAAGTATCATCATCGGTATAGCATCTCAAGTGTGAAAGGTTCTTGTTATCTAACCTGTCTTTTTTAAAAGGTTCTTGTTATTTTTTTTTTTTTTTTTTTTTTTTTTTTTTTTTTTTTTTTTTTACCTTTGGGTTCATCGATTCTGTCTTTCTAGAGGTTTTTGACTTCCTGCATCCTGCCTCATGAGGTGCGGGTGGCCATTGCGGCTTACCTCCTGCGCGACCCGGATTATGCCTCTATAATGGATCCATCTTCATTCAAGTTTGGGTCTTCATCTCCCAACTGGGTTCGTTATGAGGTTCCGGAGTCATCCTGGTTAGTGGACTTCCCTGTGCTGTCTTTGGATGCTTGGAGTATTTTCTGTCGTACCCATGCGCTTGAGTGGCGCAAGGCACTGACGTTGGTCCAGGTTTACATGAGGGGGGGGGGAGGTCCCATTGCTGGATTGTGCCAGGGCTTGGGGTTCCTCTCGTCATGATAGGCCACTGGTGCCACCTTTGGACCCGTCTTCATCTGGTTGGTGCGGTGATTGCTCTGTGCATTAGTTGGGTTCTCGCAAGGGGCATCGGCCCTTTCGCGGGTTCGCCCCCATTGACGGGGCGATGGTGGGGAGGCTCACACTGTTCATTCACACCTGGTCTCATGATTTGTAGGCTTTTTGGGTCATTTCTGATGACCTGCAGTGGTGTTGGATGGCCCCTCCTCCTTCGGGTGTTTGGGGCTGGCAG